TACGGTAGGAGAGGGCTCCCCAACCCGGCGTGGTTTTTTGATTCATAGAGGATTGATCCGACATGCTACGAAGCATCACTACTGGGCGGCAATAGCTACAATTCTATTATACGCAGTGGGTCCACAGCAACGTCAGGCTACAAAGCCCGCCGTGGCATTCTCATTCACATCTGCTATAATCAACGGACGCGATCCTCTCGTGGGCGCATTTTATCCGACGCATGCCTTTCGGTTTGCGGCCGCGTATGGGGCCCCCAAAACGCCGCGATTCCCTTGGCATCTTCTCGCCAGGATCATCGCCAACTTCTGGAGTCCCCCCACGCGCCTCTTCGATTCCGCCTTGATCCCACCGCCATGGGGCCTCGGAGGCATGCGACACGAAGCGCAGCTCTCGCCCAACCTCCCACTTCCCACTGGCTGCCCGATTCTTCCATGCCCCCCTCCCCCCTCACCCCCCCCCCCCCGGGCCCCGCGCGCACGCGCGCGCAGGGCGGGCAGGCGCCATGGCGCCGGCGGGGGCGGGGGGGAGGCATCGCCGCCGGCCCTCCTGGGCCAGGGCGGCCGCGGCCAGCGGCAACGCGGCCGCCGCCAATTGGCAACGGTCTCTGCAGCGCCACTTCTGCCACAGCCTAGATTGGCAGCCGCAACACCTCGCGCTCCCACCGCCTCGGTTCAAATTTTTACTTAGCCTTAGCAGAACGCTTACAAGCGCGTTGCCTCTTGCCTCTCTCACCCCACATCCCCAACTCTCACCGCTCGCACCGCCAACTCTTCGAAAATGGGGCGGGCGTGGACGGGGATCAGAGGAAGGGCGACTGCCGCGGCCGCCGCCGCGGATGGCGCAATCCGCCCCCCTCTCCACTGGGCACCCCTGCATGCGCCCCAGTCTTCCGATTGGAACTCGCTGCCTGCCTCAGCGGGCGAGGAATCCTCGAGTGGGACCTGGGGCCATTCCCCAGGAAGTGCCCTACGGGGTGGGGAAGGGGCCCTAGCGCCAGTGAGGCTGAAGCCGCATTTGCACCGCTTGCGCCGCTCAACCCGCCCTGCCTCCTGTCGCCGCTGGCGGGATGTGCAACTGGGCTTTGATGCTAGCGCTTGCCCGGGCGGTGGCGGCGGCGGTCACAGCTGGGCCGATATTGTCTCAACCTTTATGATGGGCCTGTTGTCCACCACCACCATCCATGAGTTGGAGGGGGAGAGGGCCCTCCTCCTCCTCCTCCTCGTCCTCCTCCGCCTCCTCCTCCTCTGAGCCGCTGCGACGGCACCGACCCACATTTTCCGCGGCACCTGAGTACACAGACTCCCGCAGTCAGGTGATTCAGCGGCACGTCTCCCCCCTCGGGGGGCTCGCCGCGCCCGTGAGAGAGGGGGCGGGCTTCCGCGTGAGGCGCTGGCTCCTCGCCGCGAACGCCCTCGCCTCCTTCCTGCTGGGCGCGCTGCGCGCCTGCAACATGGAGGGGGCCCGCCCCCGCGCCGACGTCGGCAAACGACCTCCTCTACGGGCCATCGTCTACAATCCCACGTACCTGGCTGGAGCCGCCCGCGCCGCCGAGGTCTCGGCGGAATGTCAGAACATCGGGGCCGTCATGTTGCCTGGCACCTCGCGACGGCAACGCGAGGACATACGCTCACTCTTCCTTCTCCCACACCACTTGGAACTGAGCCTCGGATGCGCGAGGGCCTCAAACAAAAGCTGCGGGGTCTCGATCTTCCTCCGCATGAAGCGCCCCCCCCCCCCCCCCCCCCACCCACCCACACACGCACACACACACACACACACACACACACACACACACACACACACACACACACGGAATTTCATCAGAAAGATCTGCGCGCCGCCAGCTTCCCTGCCAGGGCGACGCGGGGCGGTGCGCCTCAAATCTCAGACAGCAGATATTGTTCATGGCCATCTATCTCCCGACGCTGCCGACGATGCGCGGAGGGCGTCCTATTTACATGGCGATCGCATGCAACTGGGCCAATAATATTCTGAACAGCACTGGTAGCCGCTGCGCCCCCCCCTGATCGGCGTCGACCGAAACGACCACCTCGGCTGCAGCATAGACGACACTCTAGACGGCGAGGGGGTGATTGACCCTAGGGACGGAGAAGGGCACGACGTTGACTGGTCATGGGGGGAGGCAGCCGATGCACGCGGGACTTCGACAGGATGATGAGGATCCTGCGGGGGGGGGGGGGCGCGGAGTGCATCACGGCGGTTCAGCGCATTCACGAGTCGATCGTGACGACCCCAGAGAACGAATGGGCGCGCCTCTGTTCACGCCCCACCATCGACGAGCATTGGAACTCGACCTCGGTTTCACTCAAGGAGGCGGCGCTGGAGGAGCTCACGCGACCATCACCTCAGGAGGCCGAGAAGTCCACCTTGGAAAAGCAACGTTCTGAGATTTTATCCAAGAGGCGTCACCTACGCGAACTTCACATCGGCAGGGGATCAGCTGAACGCCCGGACGCGGGGCTGGAGCTCTCTCGCATCACCTTCCGCCTCCGTCAGCTTTCGCGACAGATCACCCTGGATCCGAACAAACTGTTAGTTGCGGAGCTCAACCAGGCCTGGACGGGCCATGACCACTTCGCGGTCCAGACCCCCATACGTCGGCTGTCTCGACGAGGACAGGGCCCCCGACATCGCGAATATTTCAAAGCTCGCGAGGAGAACTGCGCACCCCAGGACATTGCGGACTTTCTTCGGCCCCCTGCTCAGCAGGGGGGACTTTTGGCTATCGACTGCGACCTGCAGCAGGAGCTGACCGAGAGGTTCGACCGCGCCTTCCACGCCGATGAGGCCAGGTGGACGGACCTGCAGCGCTACGACACTATGCGGATGGTGAACCTCGATGCAGCAGATTTCGACGTGCAGGGCATCGTGCGCGCGCTCCGCCGTGCGCCAAAACGCCGGGCCACACCCGATTGGAGCATGCCCTCGGAGCTCTGGCTGATCCTCATCGACCCCGCCCAGTGGGGCAAGTTCCAGCGAGGCGGCTTGGGCTCGTGCCCGTCACCGTCGACAGCTCAGGCTTTCAAGGAGCGGTTCCTCGACGTTGTCGCATCTTTCAGACGCACCGGCTCGACCCCTTTTAACTTTTGACATAACACGGATCGCGGGCCAAGACAAGTGCAATGGCAAGTCAGGCCCGACGGGCCAACGGTGGATCCATCTTTTCTGCCTTCTAGGAGAGGCATGAAACGCACATGTTTGGCAGCGTGCTCGTCGTCACCGAGAGGCTCTGCCGTACTTCTGCCGCGGTTTTGCTAGGCGCCGCCGTCGGGAGGACGCTCTGGCGGTCCAGGCCTGCACGTCTTGGAGGCTTCAGAAGTTTGGTGTTTCGCATGCTATTATAAACGAGGACGCCACCAACGCTGTCGCGAGCACGAAACGGGACGCGATTCTGGAAACCCTGGAGGCCCTGTACCTACCTGAGGACGTACGGTTTCAGCACACTCGCACGATGCAGGCGGCGATGCAGGTCGTGGCTTCCGAGGGCCCATCTCTCTGAGGCCCACATCTGGAGAACTCACTGGGGCACCCTAATCCCGCCAGGGGCTTCCCGCATTTCTATTTGAAGGGCCTGGGCCCTTTCCTGAGCTGGAGGGCGGGGGCGAGGTCGCACGCGCAGGCGCAGGCGCAGGAGGTGGACGGCGCGAGCACGGGCACGGGCATCACTCTGTGCGCCGACGATATAACTAAGATGGGTACCCCAGGGCATGGCCCAGAACCCTTCAGAGGCGGCGGGGCGGCGCGGCATCTCACGGCACGTGCGCAGGTCAGCAGTAGTAAGTTGGCGCCTTCCCTGGGCAACATCGGCGCGGGCCTCATCGAGGGCAAGCTCGTCGCTCTAGCTAGGAACTTCGGCAGGGGGTGCATCGCTCAGCGTCGTTTACTGCACGCTGGCGACCTACGCCTCTCTGGCATTTTTGGACGTTACACGCGCATGCTAGGCGGTTGGCTGACGGCGCAGGGGCCACTACAGGTCGAGAGAGGAAAGAGATTACAGGCGGGTCGAGCGGTCCTCGGTCTCATCTCGTCTTTCCTGGTTCACGAGGCCGCCCGCAGCGGGAAGAGGGTGGCCATGCTCTTTTACGCGCAGGGGGCGCTGCTGTCGGGGATGGAGGGACGCGCGCCAGATAGAGGCTTCACCCTGGCCTGCGACAAGATCCTGCTGAGGGCCATGCGTAGAGGCCTGGGAGTCAAGGGCACCGAGGACCACAACGGGGAACTCTGGAGGTGGAGCTCACAGCATGTCTGGGATTATTGGCAGATCTTCCCCATAGCAGATGAACTCCGTCTCCGTCGGCTCAGATGGTACCAGTATTGGATCAGGTTCCCCAGCGCCCACAGACAAGTTAGAGCATGTATTCTAGACACTCAAAGTGGGATCCCGAGCATGAACCCCGACTGGGCGATCCATGAAAAGGCGAATCCTTGGGCCCGTCAGCTCTGAGAGGACCTCAAGTTCGCCAGAAACCTTTTGGAGGAATTCGCTGATCTGGTTCCTGATGACTTTCCGCTCTCGGGTATATTTTATACTAACGACGTCGACGATTGGGCGATGATCGACTTCACCATCATCAGGGCCTCTTACTTCTCGAAATCTATAGCACATCCCTTGGGTCCCCAACAGGTTCCGATGGCTCTGGAGGTGGATGGGGGGGGGAGCTCGAGGGCCCATGCGAGTTCCGCTGCAGTTTGAGAAACTCGGACGGGATCATTTGCGGCGACTCCTTCGGTAGCATGAAAGCCCTCTTGTTGCGTGCTGGCAGAGTTCACAACATTCGAAACGAAGCGTCTCTACTCACGGTCACAAATCAGTATTTCAGGTGTCTCCAGGTCCTCAGCACACGAGAGACCGCCCAGCGCCACGTGATGAGATCGCACGTCCACAACCGATGTGCCATTGGACGTAGCAGCTACACAGCAGCCGAGGTGGTCCAAACATTCTCTCTGGATTGCCCAGTATGCAGCTACGTGACTCAAGATCTCGCACATCTTCAACGTCATAGTCGTTCTCATTGTGCGCTGGGCGAGCCGGCGCCGCCAAACCCTCTGGCTCGGCGGCGCGATGGGCGACGCCGCGGGCAGCGTGGACTTGGGCGAGTTGCTCAAGAAGCACAAGCGACCCGAGCCCGAGGGCCAGGGCAACGGCGCAGACGCGCCTCCCAGCAAGAAGCAGCAGGTGGGGGAGCTGGCGGACTCCGCCGAAGACGGCCTCCAGGAGGTCGAGGGGGCCCTTCGGGCTCGAGACATGCAGGCGGCAATCTCCATCCTGCTCAAGATGGCGCGCATGCACGCGCAGGTGCTCAGGGACTCGGCGGCGTCGGAGTGGGCGTGCCTCATCATCCCCACGGCTTGCTCCATGGTAGCCGCAGGAAGGCGCGCGGGGAAGCAGTGCGCGGAGGCGGCGAGCATCGCTGCCGCGAAGCCCACGCTGGGGCCGCAAAATTTGCACATCGCGCGAGGCGTGTTCAAGTCGATGGTAGACTCCGAGAAGCTCAAGGGGGGGGGGGGGGGGCGCCCCAGGCGCACGGGATCTTGGCCGCGTTGTGCAGTGCGGCGGCGGAGCTCGGCCTAGTGATCAGGCACTTCAGGCTGAAGGAGTGCTACAGCGACGATTGCGCCAGAATGCAGTTCTCTTTCGCGGGCGAGGTGACGGTTCCCCTCTCAGGCGCGGCGCAGGGCATGCCGACGGAGAAGACGATCAGCAAGTTGGAGCTCGAGCAGGCGATGATCAAGATGGCACAGCTGGGGGGCGCCAAGCTCAAGCTCGGCACCGCGCCACAGTGGCACTTAGAGGCGACGGCGCAGCGGCTGATCGACAAATCCAAGACAGCCGGCAGGAGCAAGGGGAAGGGCGGCCACAAGTAGCGACGGGGTCTGAACCTTGGGAGATCCGGCGAGCGGCCCTGATTGCACGCATCCAGGCTCGGGAAAAGCTTCAACATACTGCTGCATGACGGACGGCGCGATCTACTTTCATATTCTGGAGTTGGCCTTCTCTCTTCTGGCGCCTCTTGCACCTGAGGACGGATGGATCGGCGACTCTTTCGACCTATTGGCATCAAGTTCATGAGACGCAACCCCTTGCTTCTCTTGTTGTTGAATGGTCACTGCATGTACACGTACCTTCCTTTCCACACACACGACGAAACTATGTCCACAAGGACCGCGCCTCTGGCCACGCGAATTCGCTTTCTCCCGACGCCTGGTTCCTTCCCGCCCTCGAGGGCACAGACGCGTACGCAGATGGATCTACTAATGTTAAGATATTATTCCAACTTGGGCTAAGTCAGCGCGCGGTCTTGCCTGGGCCGCGACTTCGCTCGCCGAGACCGAGTAGGCCTGGCCCCGCCCCTCTAGGCAGCGCCGTGCCGCAGCCGCCCCCCCTCCTTCCCGACAGGCAAGGCGACGTCACCTCATTCGGGAACCCACTCTCCCCTCCGCCTCTGCTCGCCTCCCCCCGTCCTTGTTTTTCCGTCGCCCTCCCGCTTCTTCGTTCTCCCTTCGTCCGCCGTTTGTCTGGAGAGCGGGTTATTCCCCGGGCGGGGCGAGTGCCTCGGAGGCCTGCCCGTCGCCCGCAGCGACGAGGGCTCGGCGCTGGAGGCCAGAGGGATTTCTCACCCCCCGCCCCCGAGGGGTAGCGCGGTTTGCGACCGCCTGTGTACGCACTTGCACCGCAGGCTGCACGGCGCGCGCTACGATCGACCTCATCGCACTCGCTCCATGACCGTTCGAGGCAGGGTTCTGGTTGCACGCGTGCACGCGCAGGCAGAGCACAGACCACGCGCAAGGCCGGGTCTCTCTCTCTCTCTCTTTCCTCCTCCTCCTCCTCATCCTCCTCCTCCCCCTCCTCCTCCTCCTCCGCCTCCTCCTCCTTTCCCTTTTTTCCTCCCCCTCCTCCTCCTCCTTTTCCTTTTCCTCCTCCTCCTCCTCCTCCTCCTCCCCCATCCTCCTCCTCCTCCTCCTCCCTCCTCCTCCTCCTCCTCCTCCTCCTCCTCCTCTCCTCCTCCTCCTCCTCCTCCTCCTCCTCCTCCTCCTCCTCATCCTCCTCCTCCTCCGCCTCCTCCTCCCTCCTCCTCCTCCTCCTCCTCCTCCTCCTCCTCCTCCTCCCCCCCCTCCGTCTATTCGTCGTCCTCCTCCTCGTCCTCCTCCTTCCCCCATCCAACTTATGGTGGTGGTGGTGGTGGAAAACAGGTCCATCATTCCCTGCTGCCGTCCGAGCCTCGCCTTGTTGCCACAAGTTTCTCACGCGTTGGTATCGTTTACCATTAGCGCCACGCGGCAGCCGCCAACGAAAGGGAGGGATGCACGTGGGCGGGGTGAAGGAAGCAACGCGACTTGTGGCCACCGCCCACGGAGAGCGCAAACTTTTTCACACCAGGTGGAGACCCTGGCGCTACCCCCATTTTCTCCCTGGAAGCCCTTCGCCCCCCTCGTTGGTCGAGGGCCCCCGTTGGTTGGACTGGTCGGGATGGCCGCGGGGTTTCCTAAAAGGCAGGGAGGCTTTTGCGCCGCCCAAACTTGGCGAACGTGGCCACGGCCGCACTAACACTTTCAACTCCTGCAGTTGCCATCGCAATCGCAACACTTTCAGCGTTTGGGCGCCGTCGCTCACCCCGCCATTTCCTCCTCCCTCCTTCGGAGCCTCATCGTGCGCCCCCCCTTCTCCTCCCCGCCAGGGCGCCAGGAGACTTAGATGCACCTCCCCTGGTGGGGTTTGCCTGTCGCTTTACCAATTTTTGTTGCCGATCTTTTTCGTTCGGTCAATTCCCCTCGGGGGCAATCGTCCTTGGGGTGGGGTTCTGGCTATGTCGGATTGACACCATAGCCCACAGTTTTGAGAGCTGAGTTCCGAGGAGAGGGGGAGTGGGAGGGGGATGAGGAGGAGGAGGAGGAGGAGGAGGAGGAGGAGGAGGAGGAGGAGGAGGAGGAGGAGGGGGGAGGAGGAGGAAGGAGGAGGGAGGGAGGAGGAGGAGAGGAGGAGGAGGAGGAGGAGGAGGAGGAGGAGGAGGAGGAAAAGGGAGGAGGAGGAGGAGTGAGGAGGAGGAGGAGGAAGGAGGATGAGGAGGAGTGAGGAGGGTGTAGGAGGAGGACGTGGAGGAGGAGGAGGAGGGAGGAGGAGGCGTTGGAGGATTAGGAGGAGGAGGAGGAAGAGGAGGAGGAGGAGGAGGAGGAGGAGGAGGAGGAGGAGGAAGAGGAGGAGGAGGAGGAGGAGGAGGAGCAGCAGCAGCAGCAGGAGGAGGAGCAGAAGGAAAAGGAGGAGGAGCAGCAGGAGCAGGAGCAGAAGCCGCTGCAGGAGGAGGAGCAGGATCAGAAGCAGGAGCAGCAGGATGAAACAATACCCTCTGTAACCGAGAGGCGGCGCCGGCGCAGCCGCCGTCGCAGGCGCCGGCGGTCGCGCCGCGGCTGCCCCCGAACGCGCCGAGGCCCGCGTCGCCAGCGGAGGGCCCGAGGGCGGTGGAGATCGGGGGCAACGTAAACTTTGTGATGGGCCCAGGAAGGGGACGCATCGACCCCCAAACCGCCCACTGATGGCCGATAGGGGCCCCATGGCGCACCACGCCCAGGAGCGCGCGGGTTCGCTATCGAGGGCCTAACGACGATTGATTTATCGGCGACGTATCGCCGATCCCAGGTCGACGTTCCACCCCCTTGATCCGGTCCCCCCACGTATCGTTGCCCCTCAGGAGAGCCCGCAGGCGGTGTCCTCCGCGCCCGCGGCGAACGCGTGCTCCAGCCCGACGGGGCGGAGCTTCGGGCAGCCGAAGTCGCGGGGTGTCTGCAATGTCAGGAGGCCCAGAGGCCTGGGCGTTGCAGGTTGTTCCAACCATCCTGTGGTGTTGGGCCCTCGGCTTGAAGAGACAGCGCCCCGCTTTCAGTCATTCCTCCTCTTCCTTCCCCATCCTCCTCCCCTTCTTCCCTCTCCCCATCCCTGCTTCTGCCCTCCGCATGTCAACCATTCCGGCACACCACTCACGCGCTCCGTGACCCAATCAGGAGTTCCACCTCAGGCCCAGTGGCGACGTTTGCTTGCGTCCTTCCCGTCCAGCACGCCACACTCTCACACGGTTCGTGGCTCCCCAGGAAGTTCCGCCTAAGGCCCCAGTGGACCCGTTCGCATGCGTCCCCCTCCACCCCTCACACATCTCGTGGCCCCGTAGGGAGATCCACCGAAGCCCCCAGTGGCAACGTTCGCACGCGTCCCCCCCGTCCATTGCGGGACCCCCGCCGCACGCTTCGCGGCCCCATAGGGACCTCCACCGAAGGCCTCAGTGGCGACAATTCGCATGCGCCCCGCCCCCCGCCCACTTCGGTACACCCCTCACACGATTAGTGGCCCCATCGGGAGCTCCACGTCAGACCCCAGTGGCGACGTTCGCATTCGCCACCCCCTCACCGATCTCGCCGCACCCCATCACACGGTTCGTGGCCCCGCAGGGAATTCCATGGAAGGCTCCAGTGACGACGTTCGCATGTGTCTCCCCCCGCTCATTTCGGTATACCCATCACATGTTGCGTGGCCCCATAGGGAGCTCCGCCTCAGGCCCCAGTGGCGAAGTTCACATGCGTACCCCCCCCCCCCAAACACCCATTTCCGTATACCACTCACACGGTTCGTGTCACCATAGGGATTTCCCACCGAAGGCTTCAGTGGCGATGTTCACATGCGGCCCCCCCCTTGCCTATTTCGGCACACCCGTCACTCGATCAGAGGCCCTATAGGGCACCGAAAGTCCCAATGGCCGCGCTTGCATGGCACCGCCGCGCACGTTTCGGCACACCCTTCACGCCACGCGCTTCATGCCCTCGCAGGGAGCTTCGCACAATGCCACAGTGGCGACGCTCACGTGCGGACCCCACCAACTGTTTCGGCGCACCCCTCACACGTGCCATGCCCCCATAGGCATCTCCACCGAAGGCCCCACTGACAATGCGCCCCCCCACCACCATTACGGCAAGAACCCCGCGCGCTTCGTGGTGCCGAAGACCATTCTCTCAACCGCGGTGCCCACAACTGCATATGGCTGGGTTTTTCGCCAGGACGAGGCGGAGCTTCGGGCAGCCGAAGTCGCGGGGATCGGCAATTTCAGTGGGTCTTGAGGCCAGGACGTCGCAGTTTCGCCAACCATCCCGTAATATTGGGTCCTCACTTTGAAGACACAGCGCCCCGCGTTCTTCCCCCTTCCTCGTCCTCATCCCCCTCCTTCATCCCCCCTACCGTGCTTCTGCCCTTCGCATGTCCCTGTGACGGCACACGCCGTCACGCTTCGTGGCCCCACATAGTTACCCACCGAAGGCCCAGCAGCTGCGTTCGCATGGCACCACGACGCCCAGTTCGGCACACCCCTCACGCTGTTCGTGGCTCCATCGGGTGCTCCACCGAATGCCCCAGTGGCGACGTTTACTTGCGCCTCCCCCGCCAATTTCGGCACACCCTTCACACGGCTCGTGGCCCCATAGCGAGCTCCACCGAAGGTCCAGTGGTTGCGTCCGTATGGCAGCACCGCACCCAGTTCGGCACACCCTTCACATGGTTCGTGGCCCCATCGGGAATTCCACCGAAGGCCCCAGTGGCGACGTTCGCATCAGTCCCCCCCGCACATCACGGTTCACTTCTCACACGGTTCGTGACCCAATATAATAGGGAGTTCCGCCGAAGGCCCCAGTGGCGACGTGCATACGCGCACCCCCCGCCCATTACAGCACACCCCTCACACGATTAGTGGGCCCATAACGAGCTCCATTAAAGGCCCCAGTGGCGACGATCGCATGCGCCAACCCCACACATTTCGGCGCACCTCTCACACGGTTCGTGGCGCCGTAGCGGGTTCCACCGAAGGCCCCAGTTCGTGGGCCCATGGGGAGTTCCACCGAAGGCCCCAGTGGCGACGTTCGCACGCGCTTCCCCCGCACGGTACGGCGCACCCTTCACACGGTTCGTGGCCCCATAGGGAGTTCCAGCGAGGGCCCCATTTGCGACGTTCACACGCGTTTCTTCCGCCCATTACGGCATTTCCGCTTGAGGGCCCAGTGGCGACGTTCGCATGCGCCTCCCCCGCCCATCATTGCGCACCTTTCACATGTGTTGTGACCCCATCGGGAACTCCTCAGGCCCCACGACGTTCGCATGCGTCTCCCGCCCATTACGGCATTACTCTCACACGGTTCGTGGTTCCATAGGGAGCTTCGCTTAAGGCCCCAATGGGCCCGTTCGCATGCGTCTCCCACAACCATGTCGGCACACTTCTCATACGGTTCGTGGTCCCATGCGGAATTCCACCGAAGGCCCCAGTGGCGACGTTCGCATGCGTCTCCCCCAGCCCATGTTTCGGCACACCTCACACATGTTTCGTGGCCCCCATCCGCATGTCCCGTGCTCTATCCTTCCCTCGGCGCGCTGCATACCCTGCGTGATTCGCAGCTTCATATGGTTGGGCCCTTCGCCAGGCTAATTTTCACTCTTGGCGCTTTCGCCTGAGACTATGACATTTCGATCCGTCTCGAACAACGCCGCAGAAAGATTGGGTCCAGAGCACTTGTGGCGATTTTTCGCGACGTCGTATTTCTCGCAACGTCGAATCTTAGGGTCAGGAGGGATAGGCACGTTGATCACCCCATGACGGTCCCCGTCAGGTGGGGAATGCCGTTTCCAGGTCGACGCTTTCCCCCTCAGGGGGGGGGGGGCGTGTGCATAGTTCGGGTCCTCAGCCCACCAATGACAGGCCCAGCGAGGCCCAGTGAGGTCTTGGGCAAACTGAAGAGAGACCTTGAGGAGCATCGGGCAAACTGAAAAGAGCCCCAGGCGAGTATTCGGCAAGCCGTAGAAATGATCCCAGCGCGTCCCGAAGCATGAGTAGGTCAGCTCTCTAGATTCAGGAAGTTGCAAGTTCCCGGGTACATTGCGGCCCGCCGTTGGTTGGGTGCTAAAATGTTCAGTTTTTCCTAACCATCCTGTGGTGTTGGGTCCTCGTTTTGAAGAGACGGCGCCCCGCGTTCCTCACCTCCTCCTCCTCCCCCCCCCCTCCCTCCTCCCATCATCATCATCATCATCATCATCATCATCATCATCATCATCATCATCATCATCATCATCATCATCATCATCATCATCATCATCATCATCATCATCATCATCATCATCATCATCATCACACCCTCATTCGTGGCCCCATTTCGGCCTTTCACACGTTCGCATGGGCACCCATGGCCCCATAGGGAGCTCCACCGAAGGCCCCAGTGGCAGGGTCGCATGCCTCCCCACCACCCATTTCGGCACACCCCTCACACGTTTCGTGGCCCCATAGGGAGCTCCACCGAAGGCCCCAGTGGCAGGGTCGCATGCCTCCCCACCACCCATTTCGGCACACCCCTCACACGTTTCGTGGCCCCATAGGGAGCTCCACCGAAGGCCCCAGTGGCAGGGTTCGCATGCCTCCCCACCACCCATTTCGGCACACCCCTCACACGTTTCGTGGCCCCATAGGGAGCTCCACCGAAGGCCCCAGTGGCAGGGTCCGCATGCCCCCCACCACCCATTTCGGCACACCCCTCACACGTTTCGTGGCCCCATAGGGAGCTCCACCGAAGGCCCCAGTGGCAGGGTTCGCATGCCTCCCCACCACCCATTTCGGCACACCCCTCACACGCTTCGTGGCCCCATAGGGAGCTCCACCGAAGGCCCCAGTGGCAGGGTCCGCATGCCTCCCCACCACCATTTCGGCACACCCCTCACACGTTTCGTGGCCCCATAGGGAGCTCCACCGAAGGCCCCAGTGGCAGGGTCCGCATGCCTCCCCACCACCCATTTCGGCACACCCCTCACACGTTTCGTGGCCCCATAGGGAGCTCCACCGAAGGCCCCAGTGGCAGGGTCCGCATGCCTCCCCACCACCCATTTCGGCACACCCCTCACACGTTTCGTGGCCCCATAGGGAGCTCCACCGAAGGCCCCAGTGGCAGGGTCCGCATGCCTCCCCACCACCATTTCGGCACACCCCTCACATGCGTTCACACGTGGTGGCCCCATAGGGAGCTCCACCGAAGGCCCCATTGAAGCTGCGTTCGCATGCCGCCCCCACACCAATTTCGGCACACCCCTCACACGTTTCGTGGCCCCACAGGGAGCTCCACCGAAGGCCCCAGTGGCTGCGTTCGCATGCCGCCCCCACACCAACTTCGGTGCACCCCTCACACGTTTCGTGGCCCCATAAGGAGCTCCACCGAAGGCCCCAGTGGCAACGTTCGCATGCCGCCCCCACACCCATTTCGGCACACCCCTCAAACGGTTCGTGGCCCCATAGGGAGATCCACCGAAGACGGTACTCACACCAGCACTACTCACAACTGCATATGGTTGGGTCCTTCGCCAGGCTAATTTCCCCCGGCCTTCCCCCGTGTCTACGCGAGCCGTGGCGGAAATTCGAACATTTGTTCAGGCAATCCCAGCGTGCAGGACAAGTTTTCAATAGCAGGCGTCGTGGCGACACGACGGCCTGCACAGAAGCGAACTGCACCCATTATGGTTCGAAAAATGGTAACGTCGTGGCAACACGATCCTGCCAGCACGCGCATGCAATCGATCAGCTGAAGCGGACGACGTCCGTCTGAGGAAACGTATTGCGATAACCCGAGAAGGCTTGAGCGAACCCAAACCAGTCAGTCTTCAGACGCGCATCGACTTCCTCACAGCAGTAGCGAGAGCGCAGTAGTCATGGCAAAGCATGAAAATCATACACATCCACAGGTTATGAACCCACGGACTACGCA